TGGTGGGAGGGTGAGAAGTGGAGACCCCCTCTGCAACCTTCTGCCTAGAGACCATGACAAGAAGCCCTGGCGCTTCTTTTGCTGGCTGGGCTCTTGCAAGCATCAAGCAGAATCACACTACCCTTTGAGATGAGCAAGGGACATATTTTTTGGGGGGGGGGAATGGCTTTTTGTCTGTTTTGCACAAGTCCTGATCTCCTCCTGTCCTACAGATCCTCTCCAGGCTGGTCCCAGACCCTTCAGGCTCTGATCAGAAACCCACAGTGTCTTTATCAGGCCTGCTCTGGCCTCCAGCTTCCAGTGCACTTCAAAACCATTCCCTTAAGCCAGGACTGGTGGGCTTGATATAGCCAGAATACAAAGCCAGGATCAGATCACATCCTGGATAGCATACCAGTCCCCGGGAAATCAATATAGGAAAGGAACTGCCTACCTCCAATGTTGCCCATTGTCCTTTTGGGATCCAATAGCAAATGGTAGGATCCACAAAGACAAACTCCATGCCATTCAGATGTTCGACATAAATGTAGGTCACCAGGGAGAGGTATCCTGCCCATTCTGTTCCTGTGGAAATCATTGTGAGGGGCTGTTTTCCAGGCAAGCAAGCGCATAGCTAGGTTTATCTACATAGCTAGAAACACTGTCCAGCCTGACTCCACCCATGAGCAAGTAAGGGCTGTAGGAGAGACAGCAAAAAGGCAGAAAGGGCAAGAAGGGAGGGAGGCCCTGCTCTACGGTGGTACATGAATCTGCAAGTGGTAGATGCCTGGCAAGGGAGCGCATGGACTCATTCCTCACGGAAGACACATGCCTCAGTGACCCCTGAGCTTCTTCCTCTTCCAAAAACCCAGCTTATGCCCCTGGATCTGCATGTGATCACTTTTGCACTGTATATCTTCACTGCTGACCATAGCAATCACCAGCTCCCTCCCTCTCATGGGCACTGCAGGACGCTGGATTCACAATACACACTGCAACTCCTGGTGGCTTTGCAGTGCCCAGGCACAGCCTGGGAACCTGGGCTTTTCTCCCAAGGGAAGGGTGCCTTGCATAGAGGCCAAGCTTGGGCATGGAGCCATTAGACATGGTGGTGGGGCAGAGCTTATATCTTGGTTGGCTTTGCCCTAAGACCCTCTCTCTTGCATGTGCACACACACCCATCATAGCTGGATCTATTGCAATAGGACCAGGCCTTTCTTGCAGCTGCAAGAACATGTATTTCAGTCTATGGATTTGGAACATTATGGGTCTGAATCACACAGAACCATTTGAGGAGATGAGTGAATGTGTGTCCCTGCATGCATGTGATATGCTCAGGGCTCAGCTTTAGCTGGTCAGACATGGCAAGCCGCTGTCTTTGGCCTCTCGAAGGAACCTGATAAAAGGCAGAAACATTGGCTATGGCCCTGCAGAGGCATTTCACCTCAAGGCATGGGAGTATTCTTAGGAAGGTGTAAGAACATTAGTGCCTCCATGTTCCTTCCACAGGCTCCTATGGCTGGCTTTTAGAGGGTGGGGGTTAAGAACAATGCACTCAATGACTGGATTTCTGGGTTTCCCTTCCATTACCACCAATGCCATCCCAACAGGGTTGGGCTGCTTTCATTTGTAAGCACACACACACACGCACGCACGCACGCACGCATGCATGTACACACCACACAGCAGGCTCATCTTCCTAGACGGAAATCAGGAAGCTTAAGGGTAGAGTCAGACTTGTCTACTACCACACACAGAGGCAATGATGGAGTCTCATTTGTCTCCATCTGTATCCATGCTGTTGCTCTGTGGAGCAAAGGGCGTCTGTTTCCACAGACTCTGTCCTGAGCCTTCACTGTGCCTTGAAATGGAAGCAGGAGAGAAGGAAATGGTGTTCTTCTGAAAACCAGCTTGGGGAGGGGAAAGTGTGTGTGTGTGTGTGTGTGTGTGTGTGTGTGTGTGTGTGTGTGCGCGCGCGCATGTGTGTGCACGCGCGTGCACATGCCAGTGAACAGGAGGAGGTAAAAGTGCCTGGGAGCATTGAGGTGTGTAAAAAAAGACCAGCATGTGAACAAGAAAGCCAATAAGTCAAATGCAAGCACTGTACATGTCACACAGACATTGTGGATTATGGCAAAGACTGTCAACAGGGTGGGCAGTGTGTTCCTACAGGACACAGGAAACCATGATGATAATGTGGAGAGGGAGGGAACAGGCAGGCAGAGACCAGAGAGAGAGAGAGAAAATATATATATTCTATGTCTAGTAAGTGTGTGAAAACACGTGGGTCAGTGTGATCAACACGCGGAACGAGATAAGGTTTATAGAACATGATGGTTGTTGGAGCCCTTTGGGGTAGATTTTGTGCCTGAAGGGTCCAGAAAGTCCCACCCACCCACTCCATTCATGCGGGAGTCCTGAAATCACCCAGCTGTGTGGCTTACTCATCCCTCCACGGAAAGTCAGAGAGGAGTTAATCTGTGTGTGCATCTCAGGTTTACAAAAGCACAGCTTTCCTGTGTGTCCGTACTAGAGGAGGAGGAAAGAAGACCATATATGTGCCTGAGAGAGGCACCATGCAGAGTGGAGGCCTCGCCCTCTCTCATGCAACTGCTCTTCACTAGTATTTTCCCATCTATCCTTCCCTCAACAACAGTGTCCATGACATGCCAGTCCATGGGGCCACCATCTTCTGGACCAGCTCCAGTCTGGGCAAAAATCATGCTTTCATCTTGAGGTGCACCAGGATCAGGAGCTTTCTGAGTTGCCAAGGAGAGACTTGTTTGAATGTGACTTCTGGTACACAGCAGCGACAGGAAGTCTGCCATATTTGTGTGTATGTGTCCATGTATGTGTGTGCGCACACGCACACACACACACACACACACATGTATCTGTGTAGGAAGCTGTGATGTGGGCCATTGACCAAGCTGTGTCGCTCTTCTCTCCTCCAGCCCATCCACTGGGAATATTTCGGTGGTGAAGGAGATTGTGGACAAACTGCTGAAAGGGTACGATGTCCGCCTCCGGCCTGACTTTGGAGGTAAGCAGATCCCATTTTTCTTTCTCTGTGTTTTTTCTGGGGCTGGAGAGGCAGGGGCAAGGGCTTCCATCTGTCTGGGGAGGAATCTTTTGCAGCAGCTGTCCCACTCCTATCCTCCCCCTGCCACACTTTCAAGAGTTCCGTCTTTCGCATTTAATTTTTCTTTCTCAACCTTCCCGCCTCTGTTTTTATTGCCCTACTCCCTCTGCTTGGATTTAACATGCACTCGGACAACCAGATCAGCGATGACTCTTGCTCAAGGCCAAGTTCCTTCATGGTCCACTCAATGCCGACAAAAGGGTTGGGGTGGGGAGAGGGAGCAGCCATTGTCTATGGCTGGCATTTCTGCAGTGGCTGCCACTCGGGTGCTGCTTTGAGGCACATCTCAGCTGAGATCTGCTCATCCTGCAAGATTCCCGGCTGTTCCCAACCTCTAAGCAGCCTTGCGCTGCTCCAATCAGTCTGCACACCGAGCAGCCTGACATTGTCTTAGCCGACCGTACGTCCACCCATCTCTCCTCGGGCTCAGTGATTCGTATATATGGCACTCTTGCTTCTGTTTTTCCTCTCAAGTGCTACATGTACAAGATAAAATATGCATTCAAGAGTAGCCAGGGTTTTGGAGGCTCTGTACCCCTGAAAGGTGTGGGGGATAAAGGAGGTCCTCTCATCTCTGAGATTAGAGCCATCAACCTTATCTTTTTGCCTGGCCCAGGATGGGGGTTGGAACTCTGATCATTTTGTTTGCATGCACATACAGATATTATTATGACAAAACTGTGTTGCCATGGTTGCCTCTACCCATTTCTTCAGTGTCAACATTAGTCCCCCTTTTTAACCTTTTCCAACAACCTTGTATGGGGCAAGTCATGGCCGGATTGACCGAAGTTGAAGGAGGCTTCCCTGCACCTTCTACTGCAGAGCCAAGCCGGACCTGCGGCAGAAGGGCTTCCTGGCCAGTCTCAGCTCCATTTTGTTGCCCCTTTGCTCCACTCCCCCATTGCTGGTGGTGGTTTGACTGCTCAAAGGCATCCAAAGCAGCTTACAGTGTCTCACCCGGCCTTTGGGCTCAAGGTAGCATGGGTTTGCTGGAACAAGTAAACGTCAAAGATGACCCTCTACCTACACAAATGGTTCCCCCTCCGTGAAATATGAACAGGGCTCTCTATGCTAACAGAATCTAGCATTGGCTTGTCCACCGTTATGAGTTCTACTCTTCAGGTTAGTCGCTTTCCCAATCTAGCTCTGCCTCCTCCCACCATCAGTGCATTGGGCCCATGAGCTGCTCCTGGGACCGCACCAGACCATCGTGCCTACACCCAGAAGGAGCCAAAGACCATCTGCCGGCCATTAAGAGCCTCGTGGCGCAGTGGTTAAAACGCTGTACTGCAGCTAAAACTGTGCTCACGACCTGGGGTTCAAATCCCAGGTAGCCGGCTCAAGGTTGACTCAGCCTTCCATCCTTCCGAGGTCGGTAAAATGAGTACCCAGCTTGCTGGGGGGGCAATGTGTAGCCTTTATAATTAAAATTGTAAACCGCCCGGAGAGTGCTTGTAGCGCTATGGGGCGGTATATAAGTCCAATAAATAAATAAATAAAATAAATAAATCATTCAGGGGTGGGAGAGGTAGTTAAGGGTCAGGGTTAGTGAAGATGTACTGGTCAGCTGGGGGGCCTACAAAAACCTTAGGGACCTGGCAGCCCCTCACAGGTTGTGGGGGAATGCCCCTACCCCATGAAGCTAGCCTCCCCCATTCTTCCAGCAACAGGTGAAGACAATACTCTTTAGGCAGACTTTTCACAGCTAATTGGGCAGCAGACGGTTTTAATTTTTGGTGCTGTGTATCATCTTACACATGTTTAAATTTGATTTTAAAGTGTTTCTAACAGTTCCAGCTAATTATTTTAATACCAATATACATTTAATTCCTTATAATGCAGCAATTTATATTGTTTTTAACGAATTTGTCTTTTACTATTTGTGAGTCACCTCAGATCCAATAATTGTGAGCAATGTGGAATAGAAATAAAAGGGAGGGGTAGAAATGGGAGAGAGGGAGGGAGGGAGGAGACAGAGAGAAATCCCTTCTTCTGTGGGCAGTGGGCACCCTGACACTGCCCTGCTGCTGGAACTGGAGCTTAGGTTTGGAGTGCCAACTTACCAAGTTAGAAGGGAGCTGACAAGGGAGGCCACAAAGGCCCACCTACCAGGCTGCATAGCCAGGTAGCCACTCAGAAGCAAAGGTCTGGGGCAAAACGCCAAGGGCAAGTCACTCTTCCCTGTGCCTGCACTGGCACCATTATAACTCCCCTCCCCTCAAAAGATACTGCATCAAAAGTACCGAAAGTGCTGCAGTAGGTAGGAGCTATCCAGCTGTGCTTTCAGGAGGCCGCTGTGCATGCCTTTGGGTGAGCAATCCAGGCCAAATAGTTCCTCTTGTTCTTCAGGACCCATCTCTGAATGCTAGTTTTCTTTTTTCTTTTTTTTTCAAGAGGGATGTGTGGCTGCTTTTTTTAAAGCCCTTCTAGCTCTGGCTGGAGTACATACCCTATAAGAGGGACTGGATCTGCCCTCATCTGGGAAGCTAGGAGGTTCTTGGCCAAGGGGGAAAGGGCGCTCTGCAAAGCAGAAGGCTATGAAGGACCATGACATTCCTGCCCTGCTTTTAGTCTTTGCTCAGGCAAACTGTTGGCCCTCTCCAACCAGCCAACTAAGGCTCCCTTGGGTCTGACCCTCTTCAACACTCTTCTGTGACTCCAGGGAGGTCAGACGGAGCCTTAAGCTCCTACGGTGATGGAGCATGATGGCCTGGTGGGGCAAAAGAGACCAGGGGTCTGGGTGGAGAGAGCCCTTTGCCCCCCAGAAAGGACTCAGGCACCAGCCCCACGGGTTTGGAGTGAAGTCAGGGCAATGAGGAGGCAGGCTCCAGTGCTGAAAGGCTGAGGCCAAAGGTGTGAGCTCTGTCTCTAACCAGGTGAGGCAGGTCTGCCCAAGCCATGCTGCTGTACTGGGTCCTAACATCCCAAGTGAAGAGGACATTAGCCCAAAGGTGTGATGGGATGCTGGTGCTGGCAATCTTTTTCCTGTTCTCACTTTAGGAACCACACCATCTCCAGCAGTTTAAACTCCCTATCAATCTGTCTTATTCAGGGGAGAGAGGGGGAGAGGGAGAGAGAGACAAGGAGCTTCCACTAGTTCCGAAAGGAGGACAGGTCTGCTGGGGATTGCAGCTTACTTTTTAATTTTGAGATGCCTCGTTAGCTGAGCTGAGTGGCTGAGAAGTGCCCACCACTTTCTTGAAGCCATTAGTTGGATGAGAAGGAGAAGACGGAGAGGGAGGGGGTTGGATGACTCGATCTGCTGTTGAGCCCCACCAGTTCCCCACCCACTACGGAAAAACATTTTGCCCAGGCCCAGAAAGCCTGGCTAACCTGTTTTTTCCTTCCCCCTCCATCTTCAGATTCCTGAGCAAACAGCCAAATATGAGTAGAGAGCTAGTTTGGAGACTGGAGAGGTGTGAGGGCACTCTCCTCTCTTTTGACAGCAGGCTCACACTATGGGACTCTTGCTCACAGGTGTGTAAAACTCTTGTTCCATTCCTTTAAAAGCTTCAAGCCATATATACTTTATATGTTTCTTCTTGGTTTAATGTGCCCTCACCAATAACCCTTGCAAACAAGTCTCCATCCTCCAGAGAGAGGCCAGGGAGGACCAAGGCTGGAGGGACTCCTGAGGGGTTTGTGCTCCCAGATTACACCACCAGGGAGGGCAAGGATGATTGCTCCTGGAGAGGCACAGGCTGACCTCCTCAGCAGGTGCAAGGAAAGAGGCTGGTGGAGGAGAGGGAGGGGAGTGTATCCACATAGGGAGAGGAAGCATCGTGCAGTTGGTGGCAAGGAGGCAGGAGAGGCTGAGTGAGATTTTGCTCCTATTATCTGCTGGCTCCAGAACAATATGTCCAGGTTTATTTGGCTGCATTCAGAGAAGGAAGAAGAATAAGAAAATGTGAGCTGGGTTGGAGGGGTCCCAGAGTGGAAGGGCAGTGTGGGCAGCTGAGGGCCACAGCATGGGACACCCCACACCTTGCCATTTTTGGAGGGAGATGCAGGCTGCCCTGGGAACGGTTGATTCCCTGTGGTGTCTCAGTCCTTTTCCACAAGGGTAACTGCCTCTGAGTGAGCAAAACCAAATCAGAAGATGGAGAGAAGGAGTTGTCGTGCAGGACAGGTGAAGAGGTGACATGGGAGCACCTGATCACTTTACATCAATCCAGGGCTAGAAGTATTCTCTCTCTCCCTGGGCGCTTGACTCTGGTCCTCAAACGTGCCTGGAAAATGGGAGATTCTACGAGGGTCCTGTTTCCATCTTCAAAACAAGAGCAGGGCTTGGGGTAAGATTCAGGAGATTATAACTGGTCATCTTGACATCAGTGTCCAGAAAGTTCACAATAGAGAAGATCAAACGTTTCATCTGCAAACATTAAATAAAACAGCACACACACACACTGTGAACACAGAGAACCAGCTAGCATTTCCAAAAAGATTGTGGCTGTGGTGTCTTATCATTGAAAATATTTCCCTGTGCAAAGTTGCTATTAAACAGACCAATTACACTATGAGCATAATTAGGAAAGGGCCTGAAAGCAAAACTGTCAATTTCATATTGATTTAATATCAATCCATAGTGTAACCATATCTGTACTCTACCTATATTTGAAGTCAGCACAGCTGGGGAAGGATATTGTAGAACTTCAGAAGGTGCAGAAAAGGGCAGCCCACGTCAGGAGGGCTTCAAAGCATTTCATCTACAAGGAATATTTTGAGGCTGTTGAGCTTGGGGAGGGGAAGCGGGACAAGGGAATTTTTAAAAAGAGGTGTGCAAAATGATTCATGGTGTGGAGCAAATAGGTAGGAATAATTTTTTGTCCCTCTCCTTGAAGTTAGAATCATCTACTGAACCTAAATAGTGGGAGATCCAGGACAAATAACAGACAGCACAA